GAGTTTCTTTTCAATCAGTACCCGCTCTACCTGCAGAGAGAAACTGAATAAGGGCCAAGTTTTAAGAATGTGGTTACACACTGTACCATAGCTCTCTGTTTGGAAATTCAATTATCCAACACTCACTTGATCTTACAAAGAAATCAGTTTTCTTCTGTCACCTGGAATAAAAATAATAACTGGTCCAACCCCAAGCACAAGCACAGGCAAGAAAGTAAACTTTGGGTTAGGGCCAGAAAACAGAAGAGATGCAAGTAACCCAGCCATCATGACAATCTCTGCTTTAGTCATCTTCAAAGGTGATTCCCTTTGAAAGAAATATTGAAAGCAGCAAGGTTTGAAAGGTTTGAAAACTTTGCCAGTTTTTAAGAGAGCCATACCCCCAGTGAGATATTTTCTTAATCAGTTTTTAAATAAGCAATACACTTCTTGCTCTTTAGTTTTAAACATGCTTGAATTATCTTTTCAAATTTTCTCTACTGCTCTTTAAGTCTAGCTTGCTCTCCCAGATGAAGCTCTGAGAAACATGAATTAACACAAGGGTAACAGTGAAATCAATGAGTTGGTAATTCAGACAGACTGGGAGGATGGGGTTATATATATTATACATATGTATCTTCCTCCTCAGGTGAAAGAAGCCATGGTATGAATTTCAAAGAGTTTTAACTAAAACATGTTTTCAAGGGTCAATCATAACCTGTATGTTGCTCAGCCCTCTGCAAAATCCCAATGCTTATTTAGATGCCAGAATACAGAAAAGTAAATCTTAATTAAACCTCCTATTTTTGAAGTCCGGGTTTAGTATTAAAAAAAAAAGTTGCACATTTAGATGGGAAAACCAAGTCAAGCAACATGGTATTCACAATGCCTTCATCAGGAATTATTTGCCCAAGTTGCACAGCTCCCTTTCACAGAAGCACTATTCCATGCCAAGTAGTATGGCCCAGGGAGAAGTCTCGTGACTTGAAATCCTCCAGTGACGGCCTGTGAGCCTAAGCCAGCCAAGTGAGCGCATCTCTGTGGCCCCAAGAAGAGGCTGAGTTGGTACAGTTTTACTCTCTCCAGAGACTTGGCCAGGCAATAAACAGGAGCAGCTCACAGGACAGGAGCTCCTTGGCATCTTATCACGAGACTCTGGTGCCTGAGCCAGCAGTGCTCCCACAAGCATGACCTGAAGCCGAAGCTCTATGAGACCTCCCACACTGCAGCCAGGAAACACACGTACAACCCTGCCTCTACCACCTGTGGCTCAGAAACCTGATTTACAGCTGAACCACTCCGCATCCTCCAGGCATTTTTTTCTTTGTACAAATGAAGCAAGGACAACTGAGGTCCCCATGTTGCAGCTCCGGTCTCCTTGAGGCAAAAGACAGTCTTTACTCAATCTGGATAGACATATAAAGTTCAATTTCATTCTGATCTTGTAAGTACAGCTGTAATATTTAGTGTTTAGAAAGAATGAAGAATGATTCAAGGTAGTATTAATATGAGCAATTTTAAAATAAAGGTCAAACAAAGGTAAGCCTATTTATCTTAAAAGCCTTCATCCAAACAGCCCTAATGCAGCTCCTAATAATATCTCAGAATGTCACTCCAACTGAGCAACAGTATCCTAAAGAAAACAGTTATAACAAAACTATGCAACCAAACAATTATTTTGAACCCAGTCTTTCATGTTTTCACTTTGGTAGGAGCAGTACCAACTCCTGTGTTTGCCTTCGGAACGGTTTCTTCACCTGCTCCTAGAGCTAAGAGTAGAACAGCAGACACGAGACAGGACATTGACAACACAGTCCAGCAGCACACCACAGGATGATACAGCATGGTTTTGCTTACCCTAGGATCTCAAAATAATTTTTAGACATTAATGAACACTATAATCAAAAACTGCAGGATGGAAGGAAGTTATCTGTTTGGTAAGCCATAGCCTCCAAACCAGCACATGAAAACCAATCCCACACACAGCTCTGTAGGATACAGCCCATTTTTACTGCAAATAGCCATGTTACTGAACGGCCATTACAAACAAAAGGCCTTGAAGTATTAGTTTTGTATACAAGTACTAAAGACTGTAGCCTATCAGCTAAAGCTCTGAACTTGACATCAGCATTTTAGCTTTAGTTCTATTCTCTAAAAGCCATATAATTTAGTACAGACTTGTAGCTGTTAAAAGCTGATATGAAACCTACAAGAAACACAACACAGTTGGAATGCAGACTAAGTCCTCTGGCCAACATCTCATACAACGCTCTATCCCATAACCTATAGTATCTATGTACACATAGTCAGGCACAGTAACTTTTAACTTTAACAACTCTACAGTAGTTCTCCAGACTCTAAGGATGGAGAAGGAGGTATTTGTTTTCATTAACCACGCAGATAAGTATTTTAAAGGCAAAACTGTGAAAAATCAATCCACATTTACTAGGCACCATTTCTTCACAGCCCTGACTTCATTAAGGCACAAAAAAGGCAACACCAAGAATTTCTGGAAGCCTGACAACACCTAGCACATTTGAAAACCAGGCCATCTATAATTGGCAGGGGGTGCTGAGAGGCAAGGGAGTGTGAGGTAAAAGACTGAATGGTTGGCTTAAAGGATTAGCTCATTTTCAGTCACCAAAAAGTCCTACATGTGACTAAAGCTTTGTAAATCTTCACAGCTTCAGCTAAAAGCAGTATGACACAGGTCTGACTCATTAAATCAGCTGCCTGGGGAAAACATGCATTGTTATGGTCCACTTCAGACTTTGTCATCCTTGATCTGTTCTGCGTAACAACTGCCCCCGCTCACCCCTCACTGTTCCTTATATTCAAGGATATTCTAATAGCACTGTTCAATGACTCAGCTTTTGTGCTAGACATGCCAGTGCTCTATCACCATCTGCTTTTCAAGCATCAGACAGTCAGAGAGAGTCAACTCTAAACCCATCAGAAACACCTGTGCCCAGGGGGTAGCAAGCTTGATTCATTATGGATCATGGCTGTCTGCTCTGCACCCTAGGAAACCCAAGTCACATCAACTTCAGGTCCCAGTTCAGATCTGCAATAGAAGCTTGAACTCTTCTAAACAGAGAACAAGACAAGCAATTTATATATATATATATATTTTTTTCCTCCTCCTTTTTAAACTCAGCATAGCAAGCATCCATAGCAATCTTACCTTCAAGACTTCATGAAGACCAAAGGTGCCAGATACCTACAAGGCCATCTGTCAGTATTTTACAGAAGTCTTATGCAACTTTTACCTCAAAGGCTACATTCAGCATTCATCTCCTGCCTTCCAAACTCAGGGAACTCTCTCATGACTTGAGAAAAGCTGAAGTGAGTAAGCATCTAAGAAGAAGTGAGGAAAATCCACGCTTGCAATGAGTTGACAATTTCCCACACCCTGCCCCCTGTGGTTCTCCGGATCCACATTTGACTCAGCCTGACACAACTCTGTTGGGAAAGTTTGTTTACAGAGAGGAAGGAAGTATTTGATCCGTGGCATCACTGCAGTCTAAACTTTTCTTGACCAAAGCAGGTGCAGTGAGCATGTCAATGAGAAAGAGATGCTATTTTCCCTTCACCTGCAAGTCATGCTTCTGCTATTCACGACTTTCTCCTGCCATGTATTCACTTGGTACTCGTCCACATACCTACCAGTAACAAACCGCAGCATTAGCTCTGATCACTCACTCACAGCACTGCACATTCATGCTAACATATTAACATCAACCTCAAACAGCTAACATAGCTTAGACTACATTACAATTATAGTCACAGTGGGGAAAAAAAACTGACTTTCTTACAGCTAACAGAAGCTCTGCCTTTGTTAGCTTCAATTGCACAAAGTCGCACTACTGAAGTTGATCACAGGTCACTAGCACTGACTGGAGAACAGATCCCACACCAGCTGTATGCAAACACTGCCACCACACACACAGCCTACTACACAAAGCTTCATGTAGTTACAGAGATTCACAAGAGGAACAACACAGAAAAATAACTGAGCTCCGAGTACTTTTGGAAGCATCAGGCAACATGCTGGCTCACCTACCTCCACAACAACCAATTCTTTTGTATCCTTAGGCACTTAAAGGGAGGATGCAATAATGATTTAAAGTACGGCTGGCTGGAACGTAACATGAATTTGAAGACCACATGCATCCATGAACTGAAGTGGCCCAAACAGTGTTTGAAGCTTGATACTGAGCAAGTTTTCTTCCCATAATTAAGATAAAAGCATGATGAATATACAGAGACCCACCAAGAGAAAAGGTTATTCCGTGCCTTGTGCTTGATAAGGGGAGCATAAACACAAGAAATAACGATTCCAGGAGACTAAAGAGCAAGTCTTATGTCTGCTTGGTGGTAACTTAAAACATTGGCCTAATAAAAGTAAAAAGGATCTGTAAAAAGTGTACCAAAAGAAATACATTTAGAAAAGCTATAATATACATTTTTCTGTTTTTCTCACGTTATCTTCCCATGCTTTCAAAATACACATTTATCCACTAAGAGACTTTACTACAGACATGAATAGATCCTAAAGGAAGAGAGTTCAAACTTGGAACTAAGTGAGCTGACACTAAATCAACAGGTGAAGATACAGGCACTGCCTCTAGTAAGCCCCATTATTGACTGCTGGGGATTTTAGCATGTAAACTGATAAAGAAGGTAGAGGATGCAAACTGAGGCTTCCTATGATTTTCTATAAGAACTACAGTAGAGAACAGCTGTTGCTCAATTACAGTCTTCCCCATTCACTATTCTGGAAGGACAAATCACACTTCTCCAAAACTGATTTCCTCAGCCTCCTGTGAGATAGCTGAAAATGAGCACTCTGCCCCCAAAACATACTTTAACTCTGCAACTTTTCAGAAGTAAAGCATCACTGCCTTTTGTAGTGCAGGTATTGCTCAATACTGACTGAAAAAAAAAGAAAGAAAAAAAAAAACACCTTTTTTCCTGATACCTGCATCTTGTAAAACTTCATATTAGACTCAAGAACTTACCCAGACTTCATTGTCTTCTGGCTTTTTCCAGATCTCTTCTTCATCCAGCTTCCCCAGTGTACAGTAAATGCATTTTCTTTTTAAAATGATCTGGTGGATGGGTTACAGAATTATCTCCAGCAATCTTACAGCAGTACAGGAAGAACATGCCTCATAGCACCTTGCACAGCAGAACATTGATATCAGCCTCTACATTCTCTTCCCTCAGCTCAGTTATTCACAAGGAACTGAAAAACAAACAAACAAAATAAATAGCACTTGAACTTAGGAGACATCAAGACTCATACCGGCTTGGAGATTAAATTCAGTGTTCATTAATACTCTGGGCTTAGCAGTCACCATTGTTTATGTCTCATTAATTTTAGCTGAGGCTTTTTTGTTTGTTTGTTTTGCCTTCTTTAATCAAGGGCTTGCAGTTTTACTGCCCAAGAGAAAAACTTTGTGGGTTTTTGTTTTTTTTTTTTTTTTAAAACAACATATTTCTTCCAAGCCAAGCAGTCACAACCCAGCACCTTACAAATTTCTTTAGATCTCTGCATCTTATCTCTTTGTAGTCACCATTGGTGACACCACACCTTCAATGTTGCATTCAGGGCTGAGCCCCTCATTACAGAGGCTGAGGCCCTAGAGCAAGTCCAGAGAAGGGCAATGAAGCTACAAAGGGTCTGCAGCAGAAGTCTTATGGGGAGCAACCACCAAGGGAACCAGGATGGTTCAGTCTAACTACTGAAAATAACTTAGCCCTGAGTTTCAAATCTCTCAAAGACATTTTCTGTGAAAAGTTATTTGCTCAACTGTATACATATCCATACTCAAAAAACAAATAGATAACTTACCCAACTGCACTGTGAAGATCTAACAGCCAGCCAACTGCTGAATTAAGCCACTCCCAAGAAGCAACAGGAGTGCAAGGAAGAAGAAAGCGAAGTAGCCCCTTCAGTGCCACAATCACCTAAGGCACCACCACCAGTGTCACTCACACAGAGATTGAAAACCTAAAGCCCAGCTCAACAGCTGCTACTTGGATTAATAAGCAGGAGCCAGGAGGGCTCAGGTGAGGCTGGTTAGGGCAATTAAAGGTCCATCAGTGCTTCCAAGTGACTGAGTCTAGAAAGGCATTTGTTTTCAAGTTGTTGAGTTAAAGGGTGTTTGATGTTTACATGTTTCTGGTGTGCCTGCAATCTAAAAAGATCAGTGTTGCCTGAGCAGTTCAGTGGCTGAATCTGTGGCAGCAATAAAGGGACCAAAGGTCGTGTGATTTTATCTGTGGTTCAGTTACTTCACATCTGCTTTTTCTAATGAGAGTAACTGTTTGCTCCCAATGAAGTTTCAGAGATGCACCCCTTCTACCTCTCCAGCCTCTGGGGACTCATTTTCCAGTATAAGAGTTCAATAAGAAAGAACGTTTTCCTTGATTTTCTCTGTTTTCCTCTGTCGATTTTTCTTCCTTGTTCTGTTGTACCCAGTCACTACACACGCTACGCAGGTCAAACGTTTGAAGGGAGAAAGGTTTTCTGTGGGAATTTGCCTTTTAGAGAAGCACTTATCCACTTCCAGTCAATCAAACTCACTTTACTCATCATAATGCATCCCTACACTGCAAATACATGTTTCTACTCTCTGGCATTTTACCCTCAAAACTGAACTCTCCAATGACCACTGGTGTCCAGCTCCTCAACAGCATCCTGAAAGCAGTAACTCTGTATTTCCCCACGCATACAGGCCCCGGGTTTGGCCCTGGGGACGTTGGGCTGTCCCACCTCCCAGCTCCACACCCGACATCCAGCTCACACAGGAAGCCTTCCAGGACAAAAGGAAAGCCTTTATCTGCAGTCACTTCAAAGCAGCTTTTATCTGCGTAGCTACGTTCGCAAACAGCAACTGGATATGGAGTCATAGCTTTTTAAAAGTTACTCTGACGTTAAATATTAACTTCTACATCATATTTATGGTTTCTCCGCAGCAGCCTTCACTTCCTAATGGTGAGATAGGGAGCATTCCCGACATGGCTTCCAGCTCCGCGCTCACGAGGGCGGCTCTCAACTTCTCCGCGGCAGCCTTCCTCACGGCCCAGCCACCGCGGCCGCAACAGCCAACCTCCCCCGGACACCGACAGTACAATAAGCAGAGCCAGGTTCCGTCCCTGGCTGTCACTCGGACTTGTGGGTGCTCCGTATTTTGAAGAGCAAAGAGTTAACGTGGGCACGTCGGTTGCTTGCCAGGCGTTCTCTGGACACCTGCAAACGAGAGACGGCCCCTCGGCGCTCACGGCGCGAGGAGATCCGAGCACAGCACAGCCCCGCGCGGAGCAAAGCGGCCCCCCGCCGGGGCAGCGCGAGAGCCGCGCTCCGGCTTGTCGCTGCTCGCCGGGCGCCGGGACGGGGGTGGAGGGCAGGGCAGGCCGGGGCAGGGACGCGTTGCCCGGCCCCGGGGTGCCGCCGGCTGGCTGTCGCGGAGAGAGGGGGCGGGAGCGGGGCCGCTCCCTAAGCGGTGCAGCCCCCGGGGCCCCGCCGCGGCGCGGGTAGGGCCGGGCAGGGCGCCGCTCCTCCTCCCGGCGCTGAGACGCCAGGTGCGGGCGAAGGGAGCAGGAGCCGGGCGGGGAAGCGAGGGACGGCCGGGCCGGGCCCGAGTGAGTGAGCGAGCGAGAGCGGGGAGCGGCGCGGGCTAGGGGCGGCGGGGCAATCCTTGCCGGGGCGAGGGGCGCGGAGCGGCGGCCAGCGTGGGGTCGGCCGAGTTTGTTGCTGTTATCTGGGGAGCTGTTTTAATCGCTGCGGTGCGAGTCGAGCCCACCCGAGGCCCGTCCGGGAAATCTCCTCGCTGGGGTGTCAGCAGCCGGGCACTTCCTCAAAGGCCTGCGCTCCGTGCGGAATGCGCTCCTCGCCGTCGCCTTCTGAGGACGGCTGCCCGGCCCGCGAGCGTGCGGGGCGATCGGCGGCACGCTGCGTGTTTTCCCCGCTTAACCTGAAGGTGAACGCGTGCCTGCGCAGACAAGGTCACGTCCTTCTGTATTTCCACACGAAGTTCGAAGCTTGGGGCTAAAATCTGCGCCGAGCTCCGTGCGGGTGTAACGGCTGCACTGGAGGTTTGCGTTGGCCAACAGGCTGTGCCGTGACGCTGCCCCTCCGGCACATGCAGAGCCCACCTGAAGTTTAATCACCGGACGTGCGCGGCCCCTCTTGGCAGTTCGGGCCGTTTCTTTTGTTTTTCGTGCTCAACAGTCAGTTGTCCACGTTGCGTGGTTTGCCGCTTTTTTGAGACCGGGCTTTGTTCTGTGATGGATTTACTGGTGGTTGTGTTTTCTTATCATCAAACTAAAACCTCTCGAGGAGGAAGTGGGGAGGAGAGCAGCTTCAGGGAATGACGGGGTGCCAGAATTAGCTGCTCTCAGGCCATGGTTTTCCAGGCCCTGCAAGCCGCAGTGCGAGTGAGGCTCTCCCAGCCCCCGGGCTGCTCGTTTTCACCCACATCAGCACAAGCGTTTGTACACAGAATTGCATTGGCAAGCTAACGTGCATTTAAAAAGAAGTTACCTATACGTTTTTGCTGGATGGATGATAATAATTCAGTAATAATACTGCCTCATGATAGACAGAAGTGTAGGCAGAAGTTACGGCTCTGCCAGATTTCATACCTGCACTTGAACTGAAATCACATGTTCCTCATGCTTAGTCAGCTGTCGATTTTTATGTATTTTGATGCTGTTACGGATGCTCAGGAGTGTGATTGGTGGCGTTCTGACTTTCCTGTTGCTGTGAATAAAGTGCAGTGGTAACAACTGATCTCCTGCATGCTGTATTCCCCTTCTGCTGAATTCTGGTGCGCCGGGATTCAGGAGCTCTTGAGCACTGCCTCCACGAGAGGCACAGTGCCCTGTTCTAAAGCATACTAAGCTAGTAAATCCATAGAGTGCACAGCAGCACAAATGCAAAATCCCAGCTCTATCCCAGAAGCAGTGCAGCTGTAGTGTTGTCCAGTGTACAGCGTGATGCCTTTATCTACCAAGACAAAACACCAGCCCTTGTTAGTTTTTAGTTCAGTAACTATTTGGTGAAAAGGTGTAGGCTGACACATGCAGGAACATAACGGCATTTGTTCCTCCGTGTAAATTGGCCTTTCAGTGTTCTGAGTTAGAGCTCTCTGTTCTAAGTCACGATTTTAGCCATGCAGGGCAGACTCCCAGCACTGTTCCAATGAAACTCCTTTTAGGGGAAAACCATTGCATCAATGATGGCTTTGAGCCGGACAGGTCGTTTCCTTTATGTTATCATTCATTTTCTTTTGGCATAAATCAAATCTTAACACATACATTTTCATTGCCTTTACATTTGGAATCATTCTTTCTTAGTAGTAGATTTGTCATTGCCACCATATTTGTATTATCCCTTAGATATCCAATTTTATATCAGTAGGATTGCCACAAAGTATGGCCTCAACCCAAAGGAGTTAGAAACCAAGAAACCAGAAACAGTGGTATTCTGACAACAGATTTTCAAAGAACTTGACTGAAATGCTTAGACGACTTTATACTATACTCCATAGTACAAATACTACATATTATTGTAATGTAAATTGCATGTACATTACATAAAATGTAAATTATATGTAATTTAACAAAAAATCAGAAGTCTTCCTATTGAAATTTTTAAGCTGTAAGAAGTTAGGAAGAACATTTGAAAGTCTGGAGAAGATTAAGTAGTAACAGGTTGGCTGTTGAGCCTCTTTGTGCCTCTGGAAAGGAACCTCTGAACATTGAACTCGGCTCTGCCTTCAAATAGTATCTTTTGGCACATAAACCCTCCTTTGTTATCTAATCAGTAACATAAAGCTGTATTATTATGAATTTGGTGCATAGGTGGAATAAAAACTAGAAAACCCTGTTTCTAGGCATGAAGTGCTTAACCCTTAGCTTCATTTTACATTCATATAACCTAAACAAGTCTGCTTTTGTCCTGTGATCAGTCCTGTGTTCATTCCTTCTGCCACTCCTCACCTGTGAGAATGGGCGTTGATCTTATATTTTGACCTAACTTAGGCTAAATGATTTAACTGCTAAATGTTGTTTTTTTTAAGGATCTACAGAAGTCTGTTAGCATTGCTGTGTCCCTTCTAGCCTTCTTTGTAAACAAGTACTAGTTGATTTATATGTTCAAGCAGTCTGTGTACAGCACCATACGCAAAGTCTTTGTTTGTGACTTGAATTCTCAGACATTGCTGAATGTCTGCGTTAAATGGAAGTCATCCACTCTATGGCCTACACTTCCACTGTAAAGGTTTGTTGCTTAGGGTTCAGTTTGATGGCACCCTGAGTGATAATCTGCTGTCTTCTTTCACTGGGTAAATATCCCAAATGCTTCATGCAGCGTCAGGCACTGTGTGCCTACAAGCTCCTTCTTCACTAATTAGCAAAACTCTACTGATGATAACCTGCTTTGCTTCTACTGTGAGCATCTCTTCTAGTCTGGCTTGGCATGATTACTATGTACCTGTCCTGGCAGGAGCCTGGTGGAATCTCAGGTGATTCACCATGCTGAGACAGGGTACGTGCTTTCATCCCTGCAGAAGCAGACAGTCAGCTGGAACTGCTGCTACGTGCCTTGATGTTGCTGGCAAAGAGCCACTAAAGTTGTTTGTACACTCCCACACACACCTACCCTAATAGGTAAAATACTCTGGTAGAACTCTTCTGCCTTTTGCTCTAAATGTAAACTTTTATTTGCAGTGAAAATTACAGCCGTGAGTGTAAAAGTCAACAAAATTCCTCTCTTCACTGGATAGATTGCCAGAACAGATTCCACCTACAACTATTTGCAGTGTCCCTGGCATTGAGGAAACCAGAATGAAATTGGGCTCTTTCTACCCTATGAGCGACACTTGAGTTAGGGAAAAAAAATACATCCAGAATTTTAAAAAATCCCACTCTGTCTTGCAAGAGTAATCAGAAGAACAGAGTTTAGTTCAGGGGTAACAAGATAACAAATCTGAATTTCCTACTAAGGCTACTCTGAAATCTTGGCAGTATGGACATGTTTTGAGACTGTGAAGATATCCGTTAGTTTCAAAGAGTAGAGGAAAAAATAAGGAAAAAAATACCCTTTTTGTTTGGTTTTTGCAGAGCTTGCACAGATCTTTGGAAAATGATTTCCTCAAGTGCTTACGGGTCTAACACCTGGGAGCTCTTGGTGATAGTTGATCATCAGTGTGAAGAAGAGCAAAAGGAATTTACACTGCGGGTCACAGGGGACCTTCATATTGGAGGAGTGATGCTGAAATTAGTGGAACAAATCAGTGAGTAAAGACCGTTTCATTTGAATGGTGTTATTAAAATAATGTGTGAAGCTTTCCTTTAATCCATTTAATCGCAGAAGTCCCCATGGAATTAAGAGCAGCAATGTTTTGTCTCTTTCCTTAATCAATGTGTGTGCTTTTCAATCTCATTTAGTCAAGGTTTTGTCATCTTTCATGTCAGGATAGCTAAGGGCTCAAAACTAATCAGACTAAAGCTATTGTTCACCCTTCCATAATCCTCCATGGAACTCACAAAGTCTCCTATCTCCTATCTTGATTCAGAGCTTTTCTTTGTCTGTATAGTTTTCAAAGTAGAAAGGACCCCAACATTTTTATTTAATCAAAACACATGCAAGTCCATATTAGTGAAACAAGACAGTTATCTTTTGGCAGCTGTCTTTTCACTGAGATGCTTTTGTAGTCAACCGTTGGCTGTCCTCGGTCAGCCTCATCAGTCTGCTCTTCTGCAGAGACCATTGAAAGATTTATTTGTACCACATCACAGCATATTGACTCTACCTCCCTTACAAGTTTGTACTTCTCTTGTAAGTTTCTTTATCCTGTGTGGTAGAGGCCATCTTATTTGTTAGAGCTTGTTAACGCTCTCCTGATTGGTACAGGGCTTACTGCCAACACAGTAAATCTTGTTCTTGTGAGCATCCTGATTAACTTTAACTGTGCAGTCAACGAGGAAAACTGAATGACTGAAAGAGACTTTTGCTGCATGTCACCAAAACCTCAAGGAACTTACTGCTGGTTCTTAAGGCTAAAGAGATGATCTGTTCAGCAGTGCTTTGCAGGAGACCATGGAAGAACTTGTGCCCATCTGCGTGTGCACGAGGTATTTTGAGCTCACGCTGTTGAGTTGCAAAGTGGGTCCCCTGATTATTATTCCACATCCCAGCACAATCCAAGTAGTGTTGGACCATGCACAGCACCACATTCAGATGTGCTTTCCCTGTGGATATCTGCAAGATTAAGACAGTGCCACAGTCAGCATCTAGCTTAATTCTTCAAGGAAAACAAAGTTAAATCCCAGCACCTGTAACAAGTATTCAGCAAATGGGGTCTAGGTCTGAGGAACCGGAACTATAATTTTAATGTAAATTCTCCCATATGCAGAGTACTGTTTCCAAAGCCGATTTGTCAGTATGTTAGTTACTGGACTTATTAAGAACCATATTGTTTTTGTTTTTTTTTCTAGAGGTGTCACAAGATTGGTCAGACTATGCCCTTTGGTGGGAGCAAAAAAAGTGCTGGCTACTGAAAACCCACTGGACTCTTGATAAATGCGGGGTACAGGCAGATGCTAAGCTGCTCTTTACTACTCAGCACAAAATGCTGCGGCTTCGCTTGCCAAACATGAAGACGGTGAGACTGAAAGTCAGCTTTTCTTCTGTGGTATTCAAAGCTGTCAGTGACATCTGCAAAATTCTCAGTAAGTAAAGCTAAATCTCATCTGGCAGCTAAACTGGAGCATTTTATTGAGCAGCTTTGTTTTCAGGTAAAATCCTTACTCCCTGCTAGCTCAAGAAGTTGTTTCATTGAGTTGAGGTAGGATTGAGTTTCATTGAGGTTTCATTGAGTTGAGAAAAGACAGTTGTTCTGGTTTTTGTGCATGCCAGTGGTTCCCATTGTACTGAAAACAGTGTCAGAAATGAGCTGCAAGAGTACTGGATGGTTGAAGTCCTGCTGATGGTGCGCTCAAGAAAGTGGGCACACGAAAACCTAATGAGGTTTAACTAGGCCAAATGCATGGTGTTGAACTTGGGTCGAGGCAGTCCCAAATACAAGTGTATACTGGGAGAAGAACTCATTGAAAGCAGCCCTGCAGAAAGAACTTGGGGATCCTGATGGACAAAAAGCTGTACGTGAGTCAGCAGCATGGGCTTGCAGCCTGGAGGACCAGCAGTATCCTGGGCTGCATCAACAGAGGGGTGGCAGCAGGGAGAGGGAGAGGATTGTCTCCCTCTGCTCTCCTCTTGTGAGGCCCCACCTGGAGTACTGCATCCAGGTCTGGGGCCCTGAGTACAAGAAGGATGCAGAGCTGTTGGAGTGGGTCCAGAGGAGGCAACAAAGGGCTGGAGCACCTCAGAAGGGCTCCAAGGAGACCTCTCTGTAGCCTTCCAGTACTTGAAGGAGCTTATAAGCAGGAGGGGATCTGAGTTTTTACACGATCTGACAGTGATAGGACAGTGGGGGATGGCTTTAAACTAAAAGAGGGGAGATACAGGTTGGATGTTAGAAAGAAGTTTTTTACTTGGAGGATGGTGAAGTACTGGAACAGCAGATTGCCCAGAGAGGTTGTGGATATGCCAACCCAGGAGACACTCAGTGCGGGGTTGGATGGGGCCCTGAGCAGCCTGGTCTAGCAGCTGGCAACGCTGGCAGGGGTTTGGAACTAGATGATCTCGAAGGTCTCCTCCAACCTAAGCTATTCTATGATACACTGACCACAATATAGCTTTCAATTTCTTCTAGCAGTGGACTGTGCATTTATTACATCTAACAACTCTGATAAAAGTGCCATAATTGCTCAACTGACATTTGGCTTAATTAAATATTTCTATCCGTGTTTTTCTCTCAGATTAAATCTTCTAACTCTTCTCATACATGAACGGAGCTTAAAATGTCTTTGCTTACCCAACATGGAAGTATTTTGCACATTTTTTAGATTTGCAATTGATAATACATGTCTGAATCAGTACTGCAGTAGGGAACAGAATATCAACAAGACGGGTATAGAATAGAATTAATATCAACAAGGTAAAATAAGAAATTTTTAAGAAAAAAAAAAAAAAAACCCAAAGGAGTGAATTTTAAATACAGCATTTCCATTTCTGTTCTTGCTTATTCTTAAATCATACATTTAATTGAGTTTATGCTCAAAGGTTACTGCGGAGCCTTTAGGGACAGAGTTTTTATCCTCATATTCTAAGCCATGGTGACACTTGCTAGGAAAGCAGGACTAAATGCTTGCAAAACTCACCCTCGCTGCCCATCCTCTGGCCTTGTCGCTGAATTACTAGATTTTCTATTCTTCTATTTCTGTTACTAGATTTTCTTTTCAAACTGCTGAAATTCAGGTTCAGAGAGAAATATGGAGCTTCCCCAGACGTTGTTACTAATCATGGGGCTTTTTTTGGACATAGTCTTCTAAGTTTCCTATGCTTCATGTTCCTTCGTTTCCCAAATTGCCATTGTAGATATCAGACGGTCAGAAGAGCTCTCTTTGTTGAAACAGTCAGAAGATACACTCAGAAAGAAGAAGAAAAAAGATAAGAATAGCAAAGAAGTGGTTACAGAGGACATTTTAAACTTGTGCAACTCTCCAACAAGTTCTGGATTGTCAGGTAATGAGAAGCTAGTAAGATTTTCTTCTTCTGACTGAAAGAAAACAGAGGAAGGAATTCTGTTATGCCGTTAAACCCAAGGAGAGCAGTTCAGTGTAGGGTTGTAGTTACAGAGACATAGCTGAGTTCAAATTAGTAGCTTCAAAAAATCCCCAGTATATTTATATTCTTCTACTGTGTAAATGTTTTACTTTCCATTGTTGTTTGAAAGGCAGTAGCACAAAACAGGTGATCAGCTGTGGCCCTGCACACAGGATGTGCTGCTGCTCTTTAAAAATGTGAGATCAGACTTTTAAAAAAATGACAGTTTTGGCAATCTGCAGGGAAAAAGTGAAATGAAAAAATGAGAGCATTTCCTGTATCTAACACAAATGAGATATACCTCACAGAAGAAGGAAAAGCACTTTTATCCCTTAAGGCACTTGGCCTGTAAAAAGACAAGGGTTCTGCAAACAGCAGAGATAGTAGTGTCTCAAAAGACAGAGGTTAGCTAGTCTTTTGCAATGGGAAATGGTAGACTACCTAAGTCTGAAGGCAGTTTTCCTTGGAATAATACTTTACTGCTTTAACTTGCAGCGAGTCCAGGTTTATACAGTAAAACCATGACGCCCACTTACGATCCCATCAGTGGGACACCAGCTTCTTCTACAATCACCTGGTTCAGTGATAGTCCCTTGACTGAGCAGAACTGCAGCATCCTTGCCTTCAGTCATCCCAACTGTTCTCCAGAAGCACTAGCAGAGATGTATCAGCCTCGGACTTTAGCTGACAAAGCCAAACTCAATGCAGGGTAAGACGGCTCTCTGACTTCTTTAAAAGCTGGCTGAACAGGGGTGGCATTAATGGCAGTAATTCAGCTTACTAAAGGCAAAGTAGACCTTGAAAATAAAACCTTGATAAATGGCTGTACTTATACTTACAAATGTGCTTTGATCGAGGGTTTGTTTTGAAAATACTCAGACTATTTTTGACGTTCTTTCCTTCTTCAAGATCAGATGATCTTGTTTTAAAGTGATGAATGATACAACTGTGCAGGCTTCAGACTAAATTCTGTTAGATGAAAGTAAATCCAGTAAAGTGAATAGCACCGAGTATAGCAAAAGACTGGTTAGCAAACTCTGAAGACTTTAAAGGAACAGTAGAGATACACATGTGGATAAATTCAGTAAGTTCTGATGAATTAAGACCATGTGAGTTCTTGAAATTTGCAAAAGCAAGCGCTGCTTACTGGACAGCACAGAAGAATACAGCGTGCTAGGGGGTTTAGGTATGCAAGTGTGTGAGAAGATTGTCTCTCTAGCCTTGGATTGTCCTGTTTGAGATCTGTGGGGCATTTAACAGTAACTTTAATATGTCCCTGGATTTTACGGAAGGACAAAAGTAGCTGGAATTATAAAACAGCAAATACTGAAATTAAAAGCAAGAGTTCTAAAGATAACATGGCCTGAATTAAATTCTCATTTCTGGAGGTCAGTTAACAACAATCTTACTGGCATAGCTAAGTCAGTGATTACTTACTGCCCAGTTTCTGGCATCTAGTCCTGATGTTTTGAGTAGTAGCTGAGAAAAAAAAAAGAGGAAGATTTTAGGTACTGTGTTCATACAATGAGAATTGGAAATCTATATGAATATTCCACTTACTCAAGTTATGACTTGAAATGTGAATTTTTCCCTGACTTGCAAGACTTAGAGCTGTTCATTACCATTTCTGTTTCATAACAACACTGCAGCTTTGCAGGTGTGACAGTTTTCCCATACAAATGAATTTGAGAGTTGTTTTCTTCCACAGCTGGCTAGATTCATCTCGATCACTTATGGAACAAGGCATTCTGGAGGATGACCAGCTTCTTCTACGCTTTAAATATTACACTTTCTTTGATTTGAATCCAAAAGTAAGAACTTTGTCTTTATTGTTGCTCACTATTTGGCTGCTTTCATGTCAAGAAGCTGTAGCACAAAGATACTGAATTTTAGCTAGGATTTGTCACAGACCTTTAAGAGATCAAAATCTAATTCTGCCCCTCAGCTATAGCTGCACTTTTCCCCTCTAGACACAGAATTACCATTGTGATAAGATCTTAAGTGTAAAGATGAGATCTGAAGAGCACCAGAAACAGTATCTGTAGAGGACAGTTTACTTTCCATTTCACTTCTAACAAGAAAAACGAAGGGAAAAACTAAACCTAAATGATCTAGAAGTATAAGCCCTGTTTTTGAAAATAGGAGAGAAAGTGACGTTAATGTTCTGCTGCCCTTCAAGGAATATTCAGCTTTTCTGGACTCAAGCCTTCTGAAGCTCCAAGGCACTTAAATTAATTTCAATGTATCTGGATGATTAAAAACTTCTGGAAAGCTCAGTAAAAGTATTTGAGTCCCATTTGAAAGCAAGACTTAGTCTTCGAAAATCACTTATATGGTTTTTTGCCTCTTACTGTGTTTAATTCCAGTAAAAGTCAGTCAGACACTGTGGTTTCATTAAGCCAAAGTTTTTAAGGGCCTGGGTGGTACATTGAAAGAAATTAAACTGTGATTATTGACCAGCATAAATCAAGAGTTAAATGTGAAAGGGGTTTGGCATTCATATCATTATTTTCCGTAAATTCTGTGAACCTGTTTTCTTTCAGGCACCTCAGCTAAATAGAAGTTCAGCATTTTTTAGTTCAGGTCATAATGTTTTAGGTGAAATACCATTCCCACTAGAAATCAAATAGGAGCCTCAGCTTCAGCAGCTCTGACATTTCCACTCTTTGCCATAGCCATGAAATAACCTAAGATAGCAATGAGCTATTAGGTAGCCTGAAGCTATTGAAAGAGAGAGGTCATGCTCCCAGGTTCATCATCCCGTCAGCTGCCTTCCACCAGCTCTGGAGCTTGCGTATCCATGACTCACTTCAGCTTACTAACCAAACAAATTTAAACTAATCCACACTGAAAAAATGGAGAGTGAATTAAAGCAGTTCACAGCAGGATCTGACAAACGTCAAGCCAGTGAAAGAGGAGAGCAAAAACCAAAAAAGCCAAAAGCAAAAGAGAGGAAGTAAGGTCTAAGAATTTCTGTCTTTTGGCTGTGGCAAGCTATTGAATGTCATATTCCTGTCAGCCATGTGGTGTTATTTTCACTTTCAGTGTGGTTCCACATTTGGTGAAAGCCAGTCCAAAACCTACTACCACAAAAAGGGAAGTCTCAGTCTTTCCTTCGACTTCAGCCACAAAGTCCTCATTAATTTTCTGTTGGATCAGCAAGTCACTGTGCGATTACAGTCGTGCGAGCTTGTGTAAGAGAAGGATGGGAACATACAGCAGGGCAGAAGTTGGGGAGAGGAAGGAAACAACTTTTATGACTTCAGTCCAATGTTGGATCATCAATTAGATTAGCTGCAGCTGATCGTGAATCTGTACCTTGATTGCCATCAATGACCAGTGTTGTTCTTTTTCTGCTACAGTATGATGCCGTGCGAATAAACCAAATATATGAGCAAGCCCGTTGGGCCATCCTCTTAGAAGAAATTGACTGTACAGAGGAAGAAATGTTGATCTTTGCTGCACTACAGGCATGTACTTGATCCAAGCTGCAAAACCTGTTTTCTTGAAGCAGGCACAAGCTAGGACAGAAACTCAACAGAGCCCAGGCCAATAGGTCTCCTTGGTCTGGGGGCCTCCTATTTGAGTGAGAAACAGTAAGGAGCATCAGCTAACTAAAACAAATAAATTTGGTGGCAGCATACCATTACTCAGATTAACACATACGCTTCATGGAACCATTTACTAGCACTACCTAAAGCTAACCATACACAAGATATTACTTTGATCCCAGTCTGTTCGGAAGGGGATTACTATGAAGTGTTGCTTCTCATACCAGCTACCACCCTTTCATTTGTTCTTCATGGAAATCTAATACACGAATGAATATGTTCACAACAGCCAAAAATAAAGAAACCTTATAATACAGTGTGAAGACTGAAATGCAATGGAGTACATATAAATTTAACGTGATTTATCGTGGCGTGGTCCCTTACTGTGCGTAATAAGGCAGAACAATTCATTAGTAATAAATTCCTTGTAAATTTAAATGAAGTTGCCAAAAATTCACAGCCTGCCACTATAGAATACCACAGAACTTATCTCAAATTTCCAAATTTCCACCTGGTGTGGATGGCACTTACAGGTCACAGTGCTACGAATGTAAATGTTAGCAGAGTCAACCTCACAGAATGCAGAATGGATACACAGTGAAGTAATATAAATCTTGACAGTTAAGGTGGGAAACTTTTGTCAGCAGTTGCAGTGGAAATGACACAGGACTTACAGTTTCCCTTTAAGAGGTTCTGCATTGCAGTACATTACACAGTTCACCAAGACCCAGAAAACCAAAGGGCATTTTCATATGCTGTGATTCTGTGTTGCTAATCACCATTTGAATTAAATTTGCCCATTCAAATCTGATTCTTGATGATTTATTTTAGTATCACGTAAGCAAGTTGTCATCATCATCAGAGACACAAGATTTCACCAACGAATCAGAAGTAGATGAAGTAGAAGCTGCACTTTCTAATCTGGAGGTGACGCTGGAAGGTGGAAAATCAAGTAACATTTTGGTATGACTTTTTGCATCCCAGAATTGCTTTCACCACATCAAATGTATTGGCTCTGATGAGCCTTCCCGGTTCCCAGTTTCTTAACAGAATTAACAGACAATAACAAAGTGTATTGTACTAAAATTATTCCTGATTATTCCTGATAGGAGGACATCACAGACATCCCGAAACTTGCTGATTATCTCAGGCTAGTTAGGTGAGTTATTAAAACTAATAATAACAAAAAGCTTACCATACAAGAGATCCCTTGAATATTGCATTCTAATCTTACTGTAGATCCTGAGGTTATAAGTGAGCAAAGACACCAGCTAGCTCTAACTAGCCTAATGTTGCCCTATTCAAATCTTTCTTTTACTGCTTCTGAGCCAGAGTCTCATCAAATCTTTCTAACTTCTGGAGCGCTATGGCATCTGTATTTATGCTTGTTAAAAGTCTAGGCTCTTTATATTTCTCTGTAATTTCCTAGCATTCATCAGTCATTGTCTCTAAATAATTTACAGTTTTGTTCTCAATCACACTTCACTGTGATTCATTTCTGCCAATGAGAAACATGGAGAAGAACTTTTGGCTTTCCCTGAGAAGGGTTTCTGAAGGCAACCTTGCAGATTTTTTCCTTTTCAAACAAAACAAACATATTACCCCTTTCTCACCAGATGTGGAGTCTGTTTTTTCTAACATCAAAATGAATTTCAAGTTGGAGTAAAAGTAAAAGTAGACCAACTCAGTAATACCTCACCTGAATAAGAAAACTGAGGAAAGTACAGTTCTGAAGTCCCATTATAATATCTTGATTTAAAGGTTATACAAATGACTACGCTGACCTCAAGTCTACAGTATCTCTCATCAAAGCAGTCTTTAGGTTTCAGAAGAATAAAGATTTCTGTTACAGGAATATCTGTTAGATTGACTCTGTTTACAGGTCATATTTGTAATCAGCAAACTGAAAATTACACTTGAAAATGCTTAACTGTTGTTAACTGCTAAATATTATTAATTTCCAATTAAGAAATTGTGTTTGACATGCACATTACAAAGGTGGCTTAGGATTAAAGGGAATTCAAGAATTTGAAGGGCCGTCAGCTACTTGCCTCTAACAATACATTGTTTATTTTTTCTCAGAGGTTGAATGGTTTGCTTTAAAAACATTCACTGGTTATTTTTCATCATTAAACATTTCCTGTAGACATGGTTAATTGCTTACTAAATCTAAGGCATTGTAGAAATTTGGTTAAGTTGTAGAACATTTTTTCAAGGAACAACAGCATTTTGGGAGTAAAATTATGTGCTCAGTTATAAATCTAAATGCAAACTTCTGCATGTCATATACATATGCATTCACATAAATGTAACTATAATAAATACATAACTTATAATGTAGTATAATTTATAATAAAGTAGAAGTAAACTTTTACTCAAAATTATGTTAGCACACTAGTAAATATAGCTTTCAGGTGGGTGATGATATTATGGAGAAGTATAGTTTTGTTTCAAAAAGAAAAATGATAAGCTTTGAAAAAAAGTGCTCATTAACTTCTTGTGATTGAATTCTGTCAGACTAAGAAAATGTCAGAGTCTTATTCCTGGGGTGGGAAAAAAAATTGACCCTGTACTGGAAAACTGAAAGCCAAAGCAGTTGGCAGTTTTGAAATTTATGTTTGGAATTGAAACCTAAAGATCTGAATTTTCTAGAAAGGACTGAAGTAGGACTTTTAGAAAGGTGCTAGAGAAGGCAAGAGTAGGTAATAATTCACTGTTGTGCAGCTGTGTAGCATTTATGCCATCATCTCGGATGTAAAGGCGAGTACTAAAGAGAGCAGAATTCCACAAAGACAGCGCAAAGACTTCTGTTTTTCTCTCTTGCACTGTACTGAATCTAAGGTTTTTTCCCCCATGGTTTTGCTGGAGTATTCTTAGTGGGATTATGATTTTTAGTGGGATTATGATTTTTATCTCCTCCTGGAACTGGCACAACCATTAAGTTTAATTGTTAGTATCCATCAGTTAATTCACAGTTCCAAAGTTGATATTTTTCTGCCTACTGTTAGAAAGAAATTAGTTTGCTTTAGCAAAGCACCAAACTGAAGTAAAATAATTTATAATGAGGATTAACTCATGTATATACATGTGTGAAGAGTTGAGTAAGATGGTTTCAACTATTACCACTTCTTGGAGTGCTACAGAACCTCTGAAACTTAGACAAAGATTAACATTTTGTTGTGCTAGATATTATTCAGACAAAGCCAAAAAGATGGTCCCTACTCCATTACAATTCAGTGCACACAGGTTAGTTTGATGGGTAAAAATTTCCTAGCTAAGGAAAACCTGGAAAGTTTCTGTTGAATAAGAACAAACTATACATACATGCACACATATATATCCTTTGTTGGAAGAGAATGGCTTCACTTAGGAAAGGAAGAAAAAATAAGAGAAATCACATAGGAGTGGGGGAATAAAAGGAGGGAAAGAAATTACAGATAAGATTCAGCTGGAGTCTAGGATAAAAAACACATACACAGCTGGGACAACCTGGGTGTTGTGCTGGTTCCAGGAATGTGCTTTCCCTCTCAATGACACAAGTGTGAGTTGCCCAACTGAAGCCATGTGTAGGTAACCTCTAGGCAGTCTGAACTGTACAGTAGTAGTGGTGAGTGAACTAGCACTTTGTACCTTTCAATATCAACAAATGTGATTGCTTTTTTTCTTCTAGGCCTAGGAGACTGTCAATCAAAACTATCAAGCCATATTGGTTTGTCTTTAAAGACACTTCCATATCTTATTTTAAAAACAAAGAATCTGGACAGGGAGAACCTATAGAGAAACTAAACCTAAAAGGTAGGGATTTTCTTCTCATTTCTGTCCTCTTTTATATTGCATTAATGAACTGAAAACATCAAGAGATCTCTGCAAGACTCCAGGCGTGCACAGTTTAGTCCTGAAACTACTTCTTCAGTTACTGACACTCCCGAGCAGGCAGACTGAATCTTCAGAAGGCTGAACAGAAAGCATTCAGTAATTTAGCACAAGATTATCTGGACCTGGCTTGTAAAATTGCACATACCCCTGAGTTCACTTAAAGATGAATCAGAGAGAGAATGTGATCTCTGAGTGATACTTTTATTACCAAATAGTTCTCTGTTAGGTGGCAGTACTCACCTCTGTAGTAATAGAGGTATGGACGATGCGATGATCCAGAATGCTGTACCTGTACACCTGTGTGCAGCAGCACCTCCAAGAAGTTCTCTGTGCCTTGTTTGTTTCACACAAGGGGATTTCCATAGCTGCAGCCAGCTTTAGGTGCTTCTGGAAGAGAAACATTGCATGTTCACGGCACACACCAACATTTTATGTAGCTTCCACCTACATGTACTCCTGCAGGAGCACCATATATTCAGCAGCAGGGAATGGGTGACGCCCAGGATTCCTCCTAAAAGAAACTTTTGAAAAAGAAAGCAGATTGACACCTGTGAACAGATGGCTCTGCATACCGATCTGCACATCCTCAGTAGGTCAGATAAATGGATGGTTAAACTAGTCAGGGTGACTGGAACCTCACCAAGTAGCTCACAGGTCTGGTGTCCCTTGACACAAAGGTAACTCAAGTCATCCTTGACTCCTGCTGGGTCCAGAAAGCCTTTAGTAGCACCATCAACATGAAATACTGAGTTCTAGAGATCGCTGGGATCCTTGGAATGACCAGCTCTGTTGCAGATGTCACCTGTGTCCCATTTTCACTATTAAATTGCTTCTGAAAATAAGTTGCTTAGGGTAAAATAGGGGAAAAAAAGTCTTTTCAGGTAAAATGCTCTGTCTCATCAACTCCACTCCATTTTATTTTAAATGTTGAGCATTTCCTAAGAGCAGGCTGAAGCTTGAAAGCACCACATCTGGTCTCTTCCATAGTGAATAACATGCTCTCTGAGCTCAGAGCATTCATATCCGTGGCAAGCCATGCCAGGCAGTGAACTAGAACAGAAAGCTTTCTTTAGGCTTAATCTTTGAAAGTCTTGGACCTCAATTTTAAAGCAAAGCAACAATTAAGTGCAGTTTTTCAGTATTTAAGTACTAATTAATACTGAAAAACTGCACTTAAGTTAGCGAGATAGTAATTAAATAAATCCATTTTTCTCATTTTCTGTGATCTAGGGTGTGAAGTTGTACCAGATGTAAATGTTGCAGCAAAGAAGTTTGGAATCAAGTTGCTAATTCCTGTTGCTGCTGGCATGAATGAAGTATACTTAAGATGTGACAACGTGAGTAACACAACAAGGGAAAGTTTATATTCTTGATTTATTAGCAGATGTCTAGAAAGCCCACAGTCCAGTTCTAGAATTTGTGTAGAGAAATAGGAATGCTGTGGGGAGTTCATTATTTACATGTTCAGTAAATTTAAGACTGATGTGGTGGTCTAACAAAAATCTAATGGCTGATGGGAGGAAAGGACATTAATTCTGCCTTTATCATCCATTTCCAAGTAGACTTGCTGGGAAAAATAAAATACTGTGCTATCAAAAATATCAAAGAAGTTACAAAATTTTGTACAGTTTTTTTAGAACGAGTTCTTGTTTTTGTTCTCTTTCTTAATTAGAACTCCCTACGTACGGATAAAGATTGGGATCTCACATTTGCTTTCAATTTAAATGTATTTGGTTTGCATTGGAACGCATCAATGCAAATTGTGTAAAAAATTTTATTATGTGGAAAACAGTGCCACAAAATTTCCAATCAAATATATTCAGAAATACTGGATTTCTTTCTGCCAGCTAGTAGCTTCATGCATCAGCCCATTTTCCAGATATATTCATGTGGATGAAATACCAAAATTGTTCTAGCAAACATAGGAGTGATAGCATATAGCTGCAATGGCAGCTCATACCAATGTTAGCTGTGGACACAGCAAAAACTGTTTTACATAGTAAACTCTTTGGCATAAGAAAGCATCTCTTTTTTTTTGAGAAATAACTACATTTTCAAGATAAAGGGTTTTCAAACTCTAAAACCTAACTGTTGTGCAGGTTGATTCTGTAGACAGAACTCACCCAGTCAGGGAAGAACAGCAGTACTATTGTAACTACATATCCATATGTACTAAGTACAGTGCTTTACTGTACAAAGATGTGTGAGCCATCTTCATAAATGCTTTGACCAGAAATACCAACATTTGTATTTGTTGCAGGAGAATCAGTATGCCCGCTGGATGGCTGCTTCTGTTTTAGCCTCAAAAGGCAAAACAATGGCTGACAGCTCTTATCATCCTGAGGTTCACAAGATCCTTTCATTTCTCAAGATGAAGAACTGGACTATGTCTCCCCAGGCTGCCTCTGATCCAGAAAGCATAGATATGAAACCAGAGTGCTTTGTCTCACTACGTTACACAAAAAAATACAAGTCTAAGCAGGTATACTGAGCATGGCTTTACAGTTGGAAATGGGTTGTTCCAAACACCAGGCAGATGACTGCTTAAGGATGAGACTGGTTGCAATCAGCATTTGGAAACCATGTGGCTATGCACTAGAATCACCTTGCATTACTCATTTGTCCCTTTGACACTCAGTGAGAGGTCTCTTTTGTTTTAAATTGAACCCGGGACAGCTCTCTCAGCTCCTCTTCCAAGTATTCCTACGTCTGCCTGCCTCCTAAGTCACTCATCACATACTCCTGATGGCGCTGTCCCTGAAAGTCTCTTCAGAGTGAGAAAGGAAGATTCTGCCTGCATTTTAAACCAAGTACCCCTCCTCCTTCCTCTCCATTTAATTATTTGTGCCTTTGAGTCAAGAGTTCAGCCCACCTGAGCACAGGATGCAGTCTCCAAGCACAGTAATAGTGTACGTGCTACTCAGCATTGTCCATAAAATCCCGTCACCTAATCAGAGGGGCTGACTGCACATTTCAGTCTGCTTTCAGGACTAGATAAACAGCACAGTAATTAGAGCAGCTACATAAGGAAGGGGACTTGTGTTACTGTGAATATATTTGTATTTAGCCTGTGCATCGCATCTTGAGCTTATAAGATGCCTAAATGAGTAACAAATGGTACACTAGTAAAAAATCCTGAGGGGTTTGCTGAGCTCCTTCCCTCCCTCATTGCCTTCAGTTGTGAGCGTGTCCCAAACACCTGGAGAGTGGTGAGAGTTCATTGCCAGGTGTGTGGAACTGCTGCTTAACAGTGCATTTAGCATTCTAGCAGGACTGCTTTCCAGAGGTATTCCATCTATTCCATCAATTCCTGGATTGATGGAGTCAATCCAGAGCAAGTACACTAAGGCCCATGTTGCCAGAGAAGAAATACAAGGCAAGAATAATGAAAAAATTGGCTAAAAAAAGTTCTGGCATGGGACACTGCAGGTTCTGAATGAGAACAAACTGTTACTCCAGGATAGCTGAATTTGGAGAACCTATTAAAAATGAACATGCAATTCAGATGTTTGCCTTCTGCAACTGCCTTGGCCAGCAGGGAGCCATGGGCCAGAATTTCACTAGTAATGCAAGCTACCCTGTAGCAGTCTGTTTTGGCAGTGCTATAACACTATGAATCACTAACAATACCATCTCACACTTTTGCCCAGTGGAGAAGACACAGACGGCAGAGGGAACTGAACGGAGGCTTCCTCCCTGTTTGCCAGCAGGCTCCCAGGACAGAATGGGCCTGTGGGCAGCAAACAAGGACAAGATCATTTTGTGGCATGCTGGAAGTAGTCTGAGTGCAGCACAAACCCAAATACTGAGACCTTCCTGTGCTGTTCTGCCCTTATAGCTCTAAGTCTGTCCCCAGGTTCTCTCTGCAGTATGACTGCATGAACAGTGACAAGTAAATACCTTGACATCAGAGCTAATGCTGTTTGATTTAGTGAAAACATGTATATTTTTGTTCAATTGAAATCTTTCTCTCTTGCTGTGTTTCCCAGTTGGCAGCTCGTATTCTGGAAGCTCACCAGAATGTATCCCAGATGCCCCTAGTGGAAGCAAAGCTGCGTTTTATTCAAGCATGGCAGTCCCTCCCCGAGTTTGGCTTATCCTACTACATTGTGAGGTAATCGCACTGCTGCAGCGATGTCAGGCTGTTCACAGTCACTGATTTTCAGGAATTTATTTGATGCCTTGTTATAGAAACTTTCTCTTAGTATTTTTTTTTTCCCCACAGACCTTTATTAATTGTAGTAACTTCCATGCTACTGAATTTTCTATAGCTGTAGCACTCAGTAATTCCATTCCTGGAATGAGAGTCTCCACTATGCTTTTATACTTGCTTTTATACAAACCTGCTGGGTTTTGCCTGAAATAACATCAGTAAGATTAAACCCTTCCTGACATAAATCTCTACAATTAAAAAAAAAATTTAAAAAAAAAAAAAAAAAAAAAACCAGGGAAATCTTGTTGATGTTCTCAGGTTTGCCTTACATTTTTTTCATTCCATTTCTCAGTTGTTAGAATACAAAAGCATGCTTTTTGCTGAGCATAATTTCTTTGGCATTTCTTTAAAGAAAACAGCAAACAAAATCCCACTTTTGGATTAGTTTGGAAGAGCAGTGAGCACAAAAAATGTCCTGCTGTCATCACAGCAATTTCCCCAGATGCTTCCCTTGAATATGGCATAGCTCTGCAAAAGTATCTGACCTGCATCCTCTTCTCTTGACAAAACAGCAAAGGAATGAAGAGTACTGACACAATCATACTCGGAGGCACACTCCTTAATTTCTTACTACCTCCCCTAGTGCTACTTAAGAATCATCTGCGGTATAAACTGAGCAAGCTGGTAACCATACTCTGGCATAGAGGCCAGCTGGCATAGAAGAGCAAACATCCATACTATTAAACTCTCCTGTTTCCCCAACCCCAGTAGTTGGGTGTGAACCACCAGTACAGCATGAGCTAGTAGTGAACACAGAGCTGGTAAACACAAGCTAAGCCTGGATGTTCCAGCTCCTCAGCCATCCCTGGGAGCCACATGGGAGAGTGCTGCTTGCTTGCAGCCAGAACTGTGCCCGGGGCTCCTCTAGCAGTTGAACAGAACAGACACTTGAGTTCAGTGCCCAGGAATGTTCCCTGTCAGTATTTAATCAACTAACATAGAGATGTTTTGCCCCATCTGTCAACACTAATTCTGTAACAACAACAACAAGAACCTTAAATTTTATAGGATGGGCAAAACATCTTGTGCCTTATTTCTGCAAGCTGATGGACAGTATCTCAGTGGAAGAGTTAATTAAGATGCTATTTGTGGTCCAGGTCACGTTACCTCCCTCAGACCTGTTTAAACAAGACAGAAAATTCAAAAGCAGAATGAAAATCATAGAAAATATAGCAGCAGCCAGGTTAGACTTTTTCCAGCTTTTGTGAATGGTATTTTTTTATCTGCTTAGTCTTTCCCTTGTTTTGTTCAGCTCAGAAACTTCTGTTTGCAAGAAATTCTGATACCATTGTATTTCATTTTCACCTCAAGTTAGAAGATAGATGAGACATCTCAATATTTTGTGATGTTATCACTACTCAGAGATGTGCATATTTTGCTAACTCAGTTGTTTCAATAAGTTAATGGTGATACACAAAATAGTTTCTTTTATATGTTTATATAATTTAAATGAGAATATGTGCAAGAATGTATTTCAGCAATATTGAAACAAGGAGAAATATTATTGACGCTTTTCCAATACAGATACAATCAAATTCATGCATTTTGGCAGAACAGTACTTTTTAAACAGACAACAACAAATCGGAAAGATTTCAGCCACATCTACCTGCCCTGTTATTTTACCTGGTTCACCAGGCCACATCTTTGCTTTCTTACAAATGCTGTCTTAAAGAAGAATCCAAGCTCTAGTCCAGCCCAGGCTGTTGTGAATTTTCCCACCCTTTTTTTGCACTTTTGCAGAAGGGCACATTAAATGCATCTTTAGGCAAGAATTATTGCAGACTAAATCTGCTCAAAAGTTGGCTGTGGTTTTCTTTTCAGGTTTAAAGGAAGCAAGAAAGAAGATGTGCTTGGGGTGTCCTACAACAGGCTGATAAGAATAGATATAGCCACAGGAGACCCTATTACAACATGGAGGTTCTCCACCATGAAGCAGTGGAATGTGAACTGGGAAATACGCCAGGTAAAACAGGAACAGCTCACAGCATTCAGCCATTACATTTCAGGCAATGGAAATCTTTTTAAACTTCATAGTGAGGTTTAAAAAAGGAAATTTTAAACGTGTTCTGATGTGTCATTAAATAACATAGGGCTTTTTCTTAATTGAGTCTGTAGTGAAAGTTCAGGAAACTATAAGGTCTCCAAGTTTAAAATCTACCTACCAAGATTATTCAAGTCGCTTTTGATTTTAGTGGGATGAAGTACAGAGACTTGAAGGTAAATTTCTCCTCATTATCTTTGTCTGTAAGAATGCCTCTTACTCATGTGTCATCCTCTAAATTGCAGTAGTTCAGTCTCTGTTACAGGCTGAGGATGCAAGGACCCAATGTGTTTTTCAAACCCCAGTCTGAGGTTGCAAACTCTCCTGTGTCCGTACAGATGCTCCGCTGTGCATTTTATAGCAAGGTGCTTCTGCTCCTGGATGCTCTGTGCAACCATCTGTTGCCCAGCAGCCTACTAGATTTCAAACTTTGAAGCCACCTTTGAAACTGCACATTATTGGTGTGGAACTAGTGTAAGCTGATATAAATACAAGCAGCCTTGAAATTGTTCCTGCCTATACCATTTTCCATATCCATCTGAAAGAGCCAGGAGAGATTAAATTCAATACCTGTTGCTCTCCCCCCTGTCAGCGCACACCCTTTCAGGCAAAAGCCAGTTAGTAACTAACCCCACTTTGCTGGATTCTAGAACTGACAGTAGTTGGAAATCAAAACCTGGCCCCCAGAGCAGATTTTAAAGTCAGCACATAACAACAAATGGTATTAAACATAGTTGGTTAAACGTGCTAAGAGTCAGGAGTGCCACTTCTGCTCTTCTCAGTGTTCTCACTTAATACGCCGCTAGAAAAAAAATCATTGGAAACTTTTTGTTGCCTGCCAAAAAGGCCTTTGACCACAAGAGGGCCCTGAAGAACAGAACAGTTACAAACAAGAAGCCAGAGACCTACAACGTACTGCAGACCTAGAAATCAAATCTACAGCTCTTGGTTAGCAGAGACAGGTGCTGCTTTGTCACGGTATTTCTGGTCCAGCTGTGCTCTCACACTCACTTTTGACGCTGAAGCAGAAAAATGATGCAGCTTATCTCCATTCCTTCTTTTTCTGTATGTATTTTCTCTAGGTTGGAATTGAGTTTGATCAGAACGTGTCTATTGCTTTCACATGTCTGAGCGCAGACTGCAAAATCATCCATGAGCATATTGGGGGCTACATCTTCTTGTCAACCCGCTCCAAAGACCACAATGAATCTCTGGATGAAGAACTGTTCCACAAACTAACTGGAGGTCAGGAATGAGGTGAAGTAAGCTCTGCCTGCTTCTCCCCACTGCTTAAGAGAACAAGAGATAAAGAAAAATACATCTCTGATGGTTAATTACTGAATAATAAATAAATTGTACAGGAAATCGAGGACATTGTGCAGTGAATTTCCTCTGTTACAGCTGTGTAATTCCCACTGTCAAACCAGCCCCTGTTAAACAGGCCATCCTTTAATAGAATGAGTGCTGAATAAATATGTTTTAAAGCTATATCACCTGTCTAACACTTGTGCTGGAAACAGAAAACATTCAGGCAGTGTTCCAAAGCCCTAGAGGCTGAGCTGTCATGACTCAAGCAGTGATTACACAGCTCAAAACTACCATGGTGCTGTGTCTACCTTCACCCATATAAATAGCTCCCATAAGGCCAGTGGAGCTACTGCATACAAAGAACAAAGCATTTATCTCGACAGAATTGGATTCAGGATGTTAATGTTTTGAGGAACTCTGTCAGTTTCCAGATTGAAAAAATGCATTAGGTATTATTTTAAATTATTTACTTGTTAAAAAGGCCTTTGAGCATGGGCCTTCTTTTTGTCTTCTGTCCTTGTTACTCTGTTTTGTGGTAACATCTAACTCTAAGCTTGTTCAGGAGTTTGGAGCTGAAGTGCCAGTAGAAATTATCTTGCTCATGAATGTAATGCAGAATAGAAAAAGCTTACTCTGAAACATTGTGCCTAAGGAGCCGCAACTGTAGCAGCCCGCCGGAGAGAGCCACACACATCCACTTGTTCTGAAAGAACTGTGGTTCTGCCCTACAATGTGCAGAAAGGCACAGGAGAAGAGAGTTAGGAGGATTCATAAAGCTGCTGGACAAACCAAAACTGGTTTCAGGTATCTAAAGAAATTGAAGGGACAAGTGTTGCCATATCACCAGGAGATGTTGCAGAAATGACTATATGATTTCCAAATGTCACAGGCTGGACAGCCCTCATTCTTCTGTCACATCCTGTGCTTTTCTGCTGTGCCTGCAAGAAGGCTGTTGAAGAATGACTCTCAATTTAAAGAAACTGTGACTTTATATTTTGCAAAAGAGTGAGCAGATACAGCCTACTTCCCAGCCCACTGTGACTCTTTCTCCTCAGCACGTTCTACGCAGGGGCCAAGGCACCATCCAGTTTTACTTCAACTGAGGACTGACTTGTTTCTCATTTGCTTGACACAAGCCAGGTATTTTCCTCGGAGTCTCAGAACCACAGATAGTAACAGATAGTCCAAGTCCAGACACTTGCAGGATTTACAACCTGCCCTGGGGAGCTACAGGAGAGCTGAACACAGATGTCAGTGCCACGGGTGCCCTCTGCCAGGCAGCCTCCATGTCAGCTACTGACTTCCAGTCAGGATCATGGCCATGTCTGTGCTGAAGCCCTGCATTTGGCGACAGCAGGCTCCTTCACATTGATCACCAGGAAGCACAGCTCTGTGCTCGTCACTCAGCACACAGCTTGTCACACAGCCATCGCATGGAACACCTGCAGTTGCCACCTGTTGTTTAAATTATCTGAATATGAAAATCCAGACACTTTGAACACAGTTCCCACTAGCACAGCACGTGACTCCTACAGTGCCTAGCTAACACGCGTTCCAGTCAAGGATGCCTTGGCTGAAATTCCAGTGAAACTACCAGATCTTTCCGTTCTTTACCACCCCTCCCTCCGTCTTACCCTGGTGCGTCACTGCCTTTCTCAGAAAGCCTTCCTGCTGCTACGCAAGCAGCTTTGCCAGCTCATTCAGGCTGGCACGTAAGCCCCACCATCTGCCATGCTTCCTTGCCCCTGCCCTGTCTCCATGGTTTTTGAGATCATTGTTTCTTCTTGTACCACCCAACATACAAGGCTCTTGGATGAGAAGTAAAGAACACAGAGAGGAATCTGTTCTTATCCATTTGCCTTCAGTGCTGCAAGGGGCAGTGGCTGCAGGTCCTGTAGGCAGCCTAGGGGTAGCACAGGGCACAGGGCACTCTGCACCTCACACCCGCAGGCTGAGCAGCCCGCTCTGCCTGGGCCTGCACACAGCCCTGCTCAGGGCCAGCTGCTCAACTTCCATCCCACCCATGGCACCAAGCATGTCACAGCCAGACTCAGACCTTCCTCTTCATGCACACCAGATACCACACCCTTACTCATGCAATAACCTGATTTAACTTTGCTTTTGCTGTTTGTACCACCAATGCAGCAATCTATAGTAACAAAGTTACTAACTGCACAGTCCCAGGAAAATTCCCTATGTGAGAAATACTTCACAGGGAAAGTAGCTGCCCTAGAAATAGAGCATCTTCTGTCTGTGCAATGCACGAAGTCCCAGACAGGATCGTTGTTTAAATTAAATCAGAAACCTTTAGCAAACTAATACATTGGCCCAACCGTGGCCGTATTCTATGTCGAGCTTAATTAAACCGATGTCATGTCAGGGTAAAATGCTACCAATGTCAGATGGCTGCTGTCTGTCCTTACCCACAAGATTCCGTAGGGCGTTTTGCAGCTGCCTTCAGACTGCACTACTGTAACAGACAACACACACGCCCCACAGTTTTCTGAAACCTTGGGCTAGATAATCCTCTCCCCCTAATGGCTGTAGGAAAACATCTTGCTAGTGCTTGCTCTGTGGAGTGACCAATAAAGTATTTCTTCTGTTGGCTTTAAAAGCCATTCTCCAAATTTTTCAGGATACTTTCATTCTTAGCCATCACTTGGACCAAAGCCAGTAAGAAACACTCATCTCTTAAACTTTACAGCCTGGTACCATTCTCACCTTCTCCTTTTCTCCCCGTGGCTCTGCTTATCGCTGTGTCACTGAGGAATGCAGGGCCCATCCCCAGCATTCCTGCAGGCAAGGAGGTTTTGTGCAGCACTGAATCAGCCCTAAGGAGGGGGCGTCTGGTTTAGCTCTTTGTGCCTCATAGATCATCCGTGTGAAAAAGAAGCTAACAAAAATGCCTGCCTTGACTGAGCATTCCCTCAGATTGACACCACAACTCCCAGAAAAGCAGAATAAGGAGATCAATAACCTGAAGAAACAGCAACTTGAGAACAGGTCGAAGTGACACACAGGGAGAAAGGAAATCTGCCTGCTGCCATCAGAGGATTTCCAAGAAACTGGTGAGAGAAGGCTGCTGTCTGCCTTGGGAAATCTCCACCACACCTGAGCAGCTCTCTGAGATATACCAGAGCTATAATACTCCAAATGATTAGAGAATTTGCAGCTTGGCTAAAGAGTGGGAAAAACGTAATGCCTGCCCCAAAACTGTACATCCAAAAACCAGAGACAAATGTGAAAAAGAAATGTAACAAAAGCTCATTTTCCTTGGCTTCTCTACTTTGTGTAAGAGCTTCTCACAGCCACTCAGAATCAAGCTTCTCAGCTTCTCAAAAAGGAGCTTTACAGCTAAGAAGCTGCAAAGGCAAAGAGAAGGTAAGGTTCCCACTAGTCTGGTTGAGACCAGACTTTGCTCCTACCACTCCTGTAGCAAATGCTTCAGAATCTTTTTTACCTGCTCCAATTTGCCCTTTGAACCTGGCAGATCCCCAGAGCTACCTGTAGGCATATGAGCACCTGGCCTGCGTGCTCCCCTAAGCACAGGCCTGACAGCTGCTCCACCAACATTAATCCATGGGATTAGCCCTTCATTTAGGAAACTATCTGTCTTGCCCGACAGCCATTCCATGCAGAACAACATGTACGTTGCACCCAGCTTCCAAAAGAACCACAAGGGCTCCAGAGAGTCCTACTCAAAGCCCGTATCTGGATCCGGGGATGTTCTGGTGTTTTTCAAGGTCCTCTCCCCACACAGATAATGAATGACATAGAAGATAAGGTCTGCATACATGCAGAGTCAAGGATTTTGTGAAAGCAAGACCTTTATCTGCACTTTAGCACCAAAGCCCACAGGCCTGTTCTGCCTTCCACGTCACAATCTCTTTTGTCACCTTGACAAATGAAAAGCACTGACTACTGTTCTCCCTGAAAATGTTAACAACTGTCTTATAGCAGCAACTGAGCAGCCACATTCTTGCTTTAGCTTTGGAACCACCTCTTTTAATACATTCCTTTCAAGTTCCTGCTCTTCATCTTGGCCCTTGACCTGATGGTTTCAACTGTGACACAGCCAATAGCCCTAGCTCAGAGCAGTCCCTTGGCTTTACACCACTGCTCTTACACCAGCAAAGAAAGAACAAAGGAGCAGGAAGGGAACCTTCCCCAGCTGCACACCACAGCAGATGCAGCACATAGATGAGAAGCCCCACACAGCAGGCCTGGGAGCCGGTCACGCTGCCATGTGATGCTGCAGGCCTCTCCCCAGCTGAAGGGATTTTGCAGGAGCAGCAGGTGGGTGGGAGCTTTCCTGCGGTATGTCCCAGGGGCCTCCTCGGCTCTGAGAGATGCCATCTGTCCTGGGAGAGCAGTCCTGAGAGTTACTCCCAAGTGCAAGTGTCTTACAGAGAAATGTAAATACTTTAAGCCTTTCATTGGTGCTTAGAGTTATCAACACCCTTGTCAGCAGATGGAGCAGAGCTCCACATCGTTACAGTCCGTCCACAGAAAAAAATCCAGAAGAATTCCTCTCCCCTCCCAAGCTCCCTCCGTCCGCGGAAGATGCGATGGGTGGGACTGGAGGCACCTCTCCGTCGCCTTTACACCCGTGCTCAGCAGAAGACGGAGGCAGCAGGCCTGCCTGGGGAGCGGCGCTGAGAAACGGCAGCCCTCCCACCCTCCTGCGAGGGGGGAACGCTGCGGAGCCAGCCCCTCTCCAGGCAGGGGGAGCGAGCCTGGAACAAACGTCGCCTGCGTTGTGGGCAGAGCCGCGAGCAGGGGAAGCCGGGAACAGAACACAGACCTTACACGCTCCTCGGCTGAGTCACCAGAGTGTATAAAACAGAGCCCGGCAGCTCGCGCTGCGCGAAAGGGGAGGCACGAGGCATCGGGACTCTCGGGCAGGTACGTGCGAGCGGCCGCGGTTTAGATCTGGGGGCTACGGGTGAATGCAAGAGCAGGATCCAGCCGTCCCGCTGCTCCCTTCCTCCCGCTGCCATGTGCCGCGGAGCAGGGAAGCCAGCAGCCCCGGGGACCGGGAGATCGTGAGGCTGCTCTGCTCTAGTGCGGCTCCAGACGCCGGAAAGGACTCAGGTGATCAAAGCACGCTGGCTGGTCCCTACCTCAAACCTGAGATGGGAGCAATAGACGATGGACTGTCCAATACCTGGCACCTCTCA